GTGCCTGCTAAGTATCAGTCTCTAGAGCCCGCTGTTTACATATGTGTCATTTTATCCTCACAGCAATCTCGTGAGATAGGTATTACCTGTAACCCATTTTACAGATAAAGGAACCAAGGCTCAGGTACACTGGACATTGCCCAATGCCAGTCCACGAAGTGGTAGAGCTAGGATTTGAACTCAGACTCTCTCCACTATAGTATGACAACTGTACTGCTCTGCCTCCATGAAAAATTAAATTGGAAAGTACAATTTTAACTTGCTAATTGAGAGGTCACTGATGTAGCAACTGCAACTATCTAGAACATGACTGAGAACAGAGACAAATAAGTAAAAAAATCTGATATAATCATCATCATCACAAAGCACATGTACTTCATTTATATAAGACTCTAACTCTCAAAGAATAGGTGGTGGAGTTACATACATGTACTCGTGTAGCTTAGAAGAATTCAAGCATTCCTGTTTGAAAAAGAATAAATAGTGTGGTAAAATTATACTATTTTACATAGACTATTATTTAAAAAAAGATAGAATCTCTGCTCTCACGGAGTGTACAGCTTCACAGAAGCAGGACATCTGTGCAGAGGGAAATTGATGATCATAATGGAATGGACTGTCAGCTATACGTACATATTACACTGTGTTGCTCTGTGCGCTCTGGGGAGACAGCACCCACGCCAACTGGAAGGCCTGTGTTGGCCAGTCAGCCCACCTCCCCTTGAACAGTGCTACAGTGATACTGAGTGACACCTTATTTCCTGTTAGCTGCTTATTTACAGACTTCATGCAGCTCCACCAGCTGTAATGACAAAGTAATTATTTTCAAAAAGTTAAAACACGAGGAGAGGACTCTGGCTTTCTTTCTAGGGGGCTTTGCAGTCAGCTTCCCCTGAAGGCCTGACCTGACTTCTTAGATAGAGGCTTGGAAAACTCCAGCACACTGGTGCTGAGCTCACCTCTTGGTCTGTAGCAGGGCCCCCCTAAATGCTTGTGGAGCTGATATATGAACAAGCAACATATTTAACAGCTCCTCTCTTAGGAACGGTCATAGCATCTGACTAATCTGATCCATCTTTATTCTGATGCTTGTTAGCTTCCATTGGAGATGCTGACATTTCCTAGTTTTACCCCCAAATTATTTTGGTGCTTGTAGCATTCTGTCTATGTGCTCATCATATGTTCCCACATAATACGCTTGAAATCAGAGACCTAGTGAATGATTTACATGGATATCAGCGTATTTTAAAAAAAATCTGTTTTTACTTTCAAATGATTTGAACAGATGTTTTTATGGGCACAATTTCTGACCCTTTTAAAAGAAAAATCAGTTTTTAGAGTTAATTATCTGTCACAGGTAATGGCTTCTTTTTGTTTCCACATATGCAAACTCGGGTCTTGAGAAGATGGTGCCCATGCCTCTAGCCATCTTGATGAAGCTGTGGTTCCTGGCCTGAATCACGGAGGTTTGGGGAAGCAGGAGACTGAGGAAGCCATCAGGCTGGGAGGGAGAGTTTCTGAGTTTCTAACTGGGAAGTCTAAAATGGGTGTCCGAGGTAGACAGGCCCCAGCATGCTTTGTTTACTGGAACTCTGATATTCTGGCTAATGATGTAAATGCTGACTTTTCCCCTGAAAAGATAACCCTTGTGACACAGAATAACATCACTGCTTTAACACAATCTCTGCTTACTTCCCGATTCACTTGAACAAGATTCCAAGAAACACGACTGTACAATGTACTCTCAAAAAAAAAAAGGCTGTGCTATCTCCTGTCACCTGGGTTGCAATTCTCATAGGGAGATTAATGAAGCAAAGGCAAGAGATACCTAGAATTTTGCAAAAATTCCCAAATGCTGACCCACAAGCAACAACCATTCTAAATTATTGGCAAAATTCACCAAGATGCAGTGATATCCAGAGTTTTCCTGACGCCATCCCTGAGCCCTTTATGCAAATTAAGTGCTCAGGAAATGTTAATTGTTGGCCGTAATGAGCAGGGGCAGGGATTCTCCTTATGAGTCTTTTTAGGAGTCACCTAAAAGAATGGAGTTTAAAAACTATTTCTAGTACTGTCTTGGGGTTGGGGAAGACCACCGTTCTCATCATAGGTCATCGAGGACCCCTGGTTATGTTTGCCTGGGGCTTTTGGGGAACACAGTTGAGGGAGAATTAGGGCTCCTTTCCAGCTCCTGGTCATCTGAGGGTGTCCTCTTTTTGGGAGGCTGGGGTGAATTTGAGTCACACTTTCTGGACGTGGGCTTAGTGACCATGATGTGCCTGTGGCCTAGGACAAGCTCTAGGAAGGAACACGTCATCTGGAGGGCCACCACCAAGGACCTGCTCCTGGAACTCTGCGTGTAACTGACCCACACAGAGCTCATGGAGTCCTACTCAGGAAGGGTGGCAGCTGAGTGGAAGGACAAAGAGCCTGTCTGAGAGAGCCCCGCAGACTCGCCAGGCCTCCGGTGCCACACCAAAGGCCCTGCTGTCTGGCCAGAGCCTGGCTGTGAAGTGAACCCGGCTCAGGCCTGAGGAGCAGGTGGGACTGAGGGTGCTAGCTGGACAGCTGGGACTTCTCTGGTGCACAGATACATTTTGTTTGAGGTGCATGGAAATTATCAAAAAATTGAGACTTTCCATGTGAAAAATTGGGAGAGTCACATAAGTATCTGGATTTCTGTTTTCTGAATAATCAGATGATCTCGGAAGTACCTGGACTGTATAGCCACATGACAGTAGTCAGCTGACTGAAGCTGTGTAGTGGCTGTCCCCAAGTTTTCCACATTCATTTGTGATCTGCTTTTCTCAGCCACATTACCAACATGAATCGTGAAAACACTTGAGTTTGCAACCCTTGATATAGCTGAAAATTATTTACTGAACACCTTTTATATATAGAACTCTGAACTCTAGACTTAGGCTCCTTCAAAGACTACAGATGGCATTATCACTTGTTGGATAATGCCGTCTGTAGACGCTGGGCAGGATGCTTTTAGGTGGGGAGGGTTGGCCTTACACTGGAGCTGGATTTCCATTGGGTTGTTCATTAGTGACCTACCCCCTCACCTCCCAACTCTTTGCCATTATCATTATAAGTGGGACACCTGTGAAAAGTTACCAGTGAGGCTGTCAGCCTCAGGGTTTGCATTTTGAATCAAGTCAGGAAAAAGACAGTGTCGTCTCATATGCTGGTGTTCATCTATTTTATTTCATATTTAAAAACATAACGTCCTTCCCCAAACAAGCTTAGTTTGCAAATACAAACAGTAGGTACAAACTGAAAAATAATTATCTCTACATCTTTTTCACTTGCAAAGATTCAGGTGTCATTTTTTAAAGTCTCCCTTACTGGTATGCATAAAAAACCTACACCTCACAATCTTCAATCAGATTAAAGTTGGATTATATCAAGTGGCGGTTACTAGATCCATTCAGTTTCTTTCTGGAAATACATTATAAGTTATCCTCCTGGGGATATTTAGAGTTTCAGAGTTTTATTATTTATGGCATTGTAAATGTCCTCAGTCATAGGCACATACATTTCTGCTTTGTCATCCAAGAAATACAAGGCATCTTTGATAACGGCAGGGTTAAATCCCTCCTCTACGAGGGTCACTTTTCGGTGTTTAAAAGTTCCAGTGATCTCAATGGCGTCCTGAAAAACACCAGACAATCCACATTGTTGTGGCATTTTGCAAATGCATTAGGGTGCAGGGCAAGGGGTAGGTGTGGGGCAGCGGGACTGGCAACCCACTGGCATCTCTGGCTCATTTGAGAGCTGTTGGAAAGCAAGTTGTGTGTGAAACCAACACATGCTGTTCTCAAAATCTCCACTAGGGGGCCCTTTGTGGAAATATTTTCCATCACTAGACATGAGATCCCCTGCGGGATGAGAGGGGCTGCTGACAGTGGAATATGGAGAAGAGTATGTTGCCTGGTGAGTTTCAGGTATTCCTGGAAAATCCTGATTGATGGTGGCGTGGGGCTACACACAGACAACTTTTTTTTTCAGGCTGTTTGTTCATTCAACTAAAGACTTGTTTCTTCTTCAATTAATAGGTGATAATCTGAGGATATTTCAATTTTCGTGTCTCTCAACCATCTCACGGTAAAGCAAATGTCGGTGCCTGATGGACATCAACAGAAATAACCCTATAACCTCAGCAATATCTGGTAATGTAACATCTATTTTATCAGGTCTTTAGCTACAGAATCACAGAGCTCAAAGCCCAAAATTGAGCATGTTAAACTAAGGGGTTGATGCTTCAGAAGGAAAAACAAAAATCCCTCTAGTGGTGATAGCTGAGCCTTTTGTGGTTCTTACTGGCTAATGATGCCCAATTAAATTTCATGCCATCGAAAGGTGCAGGACTTCAGTGGATTTTTCCATTCTTTAAGACTGGAAACAACAAGTAAGAGGGTCGGAGCATTTCTAATTTATGTGTCTGTTATACCTCATTAAACAGACTTTGTGAGTTATTTGCTAACACTGTTGCTGAATGAACTGCCTGTCATTTTATGGAGAAAGGAATTAGAATTTGGTTTTAGTTAGCTATATTTTCTGATATTTCTGCTTCCTTATTCAGCTACCTGAAAACGGTACTGAAAATTTGACTCATGTGGTTGCTGTGGTAGAAGGAGTGTTGTTCCCTAAAAGGCAGGGATCTTGGAGAGAGAGGATAATTGAGCTTGATAACGAGAGGTCTCACCTGTATTCTTAGAAACCGGGGTCTTGCATAACTGGGCAGGTAATCAGCCACATGCTTAAAGAGTTTCCTTCCATCAAATTCATGACCTTCCTTCATCTTGATCGAGGCCATGCCAATTCGACCCTCGTGACCTAGAGATCAAGTGAGAAAAAAATTAGATGTGCTGTAGCTATTTATTTATGATACTTTGCTAGTTCAAAGAACAGTGAACTGGGACAACATTTTGGCATGGGTTTCTTGTGGATAGCTGGAATTTCTATTTCAAATAAATGTCGAAGTTATTCTAGAGTGAGTATGACAACAACAACACAACAGCAGCTTTAGGCTAGTGAATCTTTTTTATACGCCAGGCCCTTAACTAAGTGTGTTTTTTTTTTTCCCGTGCTATCTCATTTAACCCTCACAACGAGCTTATGAAGAGGTACAAATGCTATCTCCATTTTACAGATGAAGAAACTGAGGCTTAGAGACACTAAAAGACTGGTTCAAGTTCAAGCAGCAGATACTAGGCGGGGCCAAAAATGGAAGCAAAGCAGGCTGGCTGCAGGTCCTGTGTGTGTCGCTATCATCCTTCTTGGCAGCCTAGCTGTAAATACCCGAATGGGAAACAGGTTGAACTTATGGGTAAAGGGAAAAAAATTTTTTTTTTTTACTTCAGTGAACCGTCCTTGATCCACTGTCACAAATAACTGACCTTAGGTTGTTCTTTGGGCTGCTGTGTTAGGTCTGTTGCACTTCCAGGCAGAAACATCACCTTTGAGACTTACTTATTTAATCATGGTTCCTAATAGCTTTGCCTCGCTGCATTTCAGAGAAGCTGCATGACGGGAGGGTGCAGGCGAGATCTGGGGTGAGCTGTGTGTGCCCTCCCCAGCTAGTCCCGAGAGGCTGTGCTCTCCACACAGAAAACAGATCCTAACAGCCCTTTCCTCCCCAGCAGGCAGTGCTGTAAGTGGAGATGTGCTTAGGACAATTACCATTGTTTTCTTGTGAGGACAGTGGTAATTACGTATCAATATAGCTTCTACCTGATCTAACAGACCCAGTGGGAATCCAGGTCTACTTCCCTGACCTACTTAACTGTAATCAGAGATGGGGAAGCAGCCGCCTGTTGTCACCTGGGCCCCAGCTTTCAAAATCTCTCCCATGGTGATTGAGTGTTTACCCATAACTTTCAAGGCAGCAGAAAACAAGAGGAAACATTTTAAGAAAGGAAAGGCGTCCTCATTTGATTTGCCTCTTAGCTGAAGGAGTTGGGGTAGGGCACCAACCCTCTTTCTCTAGGGGCCCCTGGTAGCTGTCTCAGGGGCACCTGGCTCAGGAATCGCGAATGTCTCCAATAAGCTCCTTTTGGAGTTAAGGCAGCGGCTGATGCAACAGAAATCTTTGGCATCAACTGGCTCCTTGCTTCTCGCTCTGGCAGAGGCAATGCCCAACTGAGAGGCAAATGAGGCTGTTGGGTCTCAGGCCCTTGCCCTGGCTCCCAGAGTTTGGTTTGGGGGTAGCTCAGCTCCTGGGGGAAGGTTTCTGTCTGCAGCAGTTCCAGCCAGGGGTTCTCCAGACCTGCAGTATCTAGGTAGGGTGGCCAACCAATCGCGTGTAACTATTAAAATTAATTATGATTAAATAAAGTGAAAAATTCAATTCCTCAGTCGGACTACCCACATTTTGAGTGCTCAGTAGCCATATGGTGGCTATAAGTTACCCTACTGGAGAATGCAGCTACCGAACATGTCCATCACTGCAGATAGTTCTACTGATAATATAAAATTCTAGAGAGTGGTTGGGCAGTTCTGGTGTGACACCCAGAAAAAGTCGTCTCTATTCTAGGCCCAAACCTAGGAGTTCCCTCTTGGCCCAAAGCTGAGATCTGTGAAGACCTTGCTCAGCTCTCTGGAACTGAGAATCACCCCGGTGCACTGATGCCTTACTCCAGGTAGACTTGCCGCGTTTCTAGGCTGAAATGGGTCTGGTCTCTGGGCATGGGAAGCTAGCCATCAGTAAGTGTGCCACTGAGAGTCACAGAACCTGAAAGCTAGGAGAGACTTTACAGTGTGTCTCTTCAAGAATTCTCACAAGGTCCCAGGTGGACATGCAGCCTCTTTACACGCCCCAGTTGGTGGGACATTGTCTGCCTCAGGAGACAGCTCATTCTGTTGTTGGTCCCTCTGGTTACAGAGGAGTTCTCAGGCTAACATTTGCAACTTGGTCATTTCAACCATTCCGTTTTCATTCAGCTCACTAGAGCGACATGAGCACGCCTGCTCCCTGTTCTACCTGACAGTCTTCCAATCATCTGAAACTCATTAATCTCTTCTTCTTTGTTCTGTATCAGTGGCTCCTAAACTTTACTGGTTGTTAGATCCACTTGGAAATGTAAAAAAAACCACAAAGATTGAGTCCCAAACCCCAGAGGGTCTGATCCACTAGAACCATCTGGGCTTTAAAAAGTTTCCCAGAAGATTCTGATAGTTGGCTAGATTTTCAGAACCACTAGGCCTCCATGCTTCTCAAACTTTAGTGTTTTTAAAAAATTGTGGCAAAACATGCAATTCGTTATTTCAACTGTTTTAAAGTGTACAATTCAGTGGCATTCACAGTGTTGTGCAACTATCACCACTATCTAGTTCGAGAACATTTTCATCACCAGCAAACAGACTTCATTGTTTTTAAGAATCATTGGAGGGCTTGTTAACAGCTCCCTGGGCTCCACCCCAGAAGATTCTGATTTTGTTGGTCTGGGGTGGGCATTTCTAACAGAAAAATACCAAATTTTTAACGAGCTCCCAGGGGATGATGCCAGTGCTGGTGCAGGGGCCCCAGTTTGAACAGCACTGGATTAGGTCTTTCCATTCCATCTCCCAGATTCTCTTACCTTCTCCTACGCATTCTTTTGTATTGTTACCTGTTTAAAATTTAGAAGTGCATGCACATTCTAAGTGGGGTCTGTGAGAGCCCAGCATGGCGCAATAGCTGACAGCCACGACAAGGTTCTGCCTGAGTCCAACATGAGAAGTATTCTGCACCCCTCAGACTCAGACCTGAGATGTGGCTATACTGCCTCTCCTGTCATGGTCACAGGGTGGGAGAGGAAGAAACCTCAAATAGTCTTTAAAAAAACAAAAGGACAGCACACGGTCATCTGAAACCATCATAGCTCAGGACAAAGAGACTTTTGGATTTCCATTTTTGAATATGGATGAGAATCCCAGATGCTGAGTTCTGGGGAATGTTAACATCCCTAGTAACTTATATTTGGACAGTGATTTGTGGGTTTTAATCCTCTCTGGCATCTCTAATTAAAATGATTTCTTTTCAGGACAACCCTCATGTCTATATCTGGTAACTATACACTTAGCACTTATGTAATGAGAATGAATTCGTTCTCTTGACAATCTTCACTGCAGGGCTAGTATTATCGCTAACTGAGTGACTTGCCTGAAGTCAAACAGCCAGCAGGTGCTGGAGCCAGTACCCAAAGTCAGACCTCATGCTCTGCACTCTGCTGGCAGGAGCAGATCTGCAGATGAAGGCTGGGTGCCATCTCTCTGTGGGATGATTCTGAAACTCAGCGCAGTGTGCTAGGGTCAGGGAGCTACTTTAAAAGAAGAGTCTGGAAAAAATCAGCTCCTTCCTGGCTTTTTCTCCTAGCAACTGCACCAGCTCTTATTGGTGCCTCCCAGTTCAGAGGCCAGGATACCATTTCCAAGCTACTAAGTGTGACAAATCTTTCCTTGAGGCATGCCAAACGCAGCATGGACCGTGCATCTCAGAGAGATCTGGCTTGCTTGAGAGCCCCAAACAGCTGGAGAACTGAACCACAGAGGAAGGCCTGGTTTAGACGTACTGACTTGGCTAATTTATAATGGCACACAGACCAGACATAAGCCCCTTGCTCCCAGGTGGCTGGGAAAGAGTGGTTTGATTTTCCAGCTGGCAGGAGAAAGCGATGACAAACTTTGCCTTGCGGTTGAAATTCCGTTCGGTTACCATATGAGTTTTGGCACTGATTTATAATATCTTGTGCATACCTGGCACTGACACTCCATAAACATTCACTTCTTCCACAAAATCAACCAGTCCTACTATGTCAGCGACTTCAGTGGTGGCCACATTTTCCCCTTTCCACCTAGAAGAAAAGGCAAGGTTAGCAGAGGTCACTGGTGGTCTCTGGCCCAGGCTGTACTGACTGCAGATATTTCCTCCAGAAATTTCCTCGAGGGCATGGCTGCACTCTGCTTCCTTACTTTTGGCCCCCAAACTCTCCTGTTTAGTCATGGGAGAGGCATCCTGCATGAGGCATAAAAGACAAAGGCATGGACCTAAATAATATGTGGAATTTTAATCTCACTATGTGAAACATCATACACAGAGTGATGTTTGAAATACAGGCTTGGCCTAAAAAAGGCACTGGAAATCAAAAATACATCTCAATGACTTTTTGCTGTGTTTAGGTCTCTCACTTCCCTCATTCACTAACTTTGGTTGCTATTTAATTCAGTTAGTGAATTTCTATTAAATAGAACTTCATAGTTGTATTTCAGGGTCTCAGGGCAAGGAAAAAACTTTAAATCAAAAAATACTATACTTTATTTGCAGGGAAACTAATGTCAGTGTCCAACGAGGTGATACTTTTCCATTTAATAGTGTTAAATTTTGTGTTACGTTGACAATTTTTTTAGATCTCTCAGAAGTATCTTTTTAGTAACATGAAGGTGGCATAAAATAATGATATGGATCCTGAGTCATGAAATATTAGAGTTGGAAGGAACCCTGAGGGTCATTGGGACCCTTAGTTTCATGGGTGAGGGGATCGAGGTGGAAAAAGGGTACCTGCCTTGGTAATACAGCGGCTCAAGGGGAGAGGCTGGCCTGGGAGCTCAGTTCTCACATTCATATCTATGCTTTTTCTACTACAGCCAGACAACTTCCATCCTTCCATCTCTTCCTTACTCATGCACGCAAAAAGCATTCCTGTGTGTCAGGCACCGTGCTATGTGCTGGAGGGAGCGGTGAATAGCAGACACAGGGCCTGGCCTCGGGGAGTTTAGAAGGAAGGAAGCTGATTAAACAAAAGGTCATGAGGCTGGACGGTCGTGCTGTTGCTGAGAATTAATTTCACGGTCTATTGCGATGGCTTTCAAACTCCATTGTGCTGATGTGGGAGTGCTGTGGGAAACCATCTGGCTGGGGATGGAGAGTGGGAGGGAGGGGAGCAGGTGGGGCTCAGAACCCCTTGCCTCCGCTTCAACTAGATCAGTTTCACATTAATTTGCATTTGATTTTATCTGAAGAAAAGCCTCATGATTGGAAGCAGCGTGAAAATCCCTGGCTGTCCTGAGTGACGGCTACTAACTGAAGATAAATGAGAGGAATTGGACAGACTGAGTTACGGAGGTGCCCCAAATCAGGCACAGGGTTTCTCTCCTGTTCTCATCTGGTATTGTTCAACCAAGTTAACTGTGCATTGCCGAGTGACACGCCATGTATTTGGCTCCTTATTTTCTGGGAATACAGGAGGTTGAATTGACATGCCAAAGAGAGAGAAGGAATGGAGCACCATAACTAAAGTGGAATGAGATTCTAATTTAGGAGTAAGCCAAATTGTGCATGTGTTTGTTTTTGGCTCAGTAATTCAGAGAAACCAACCGGAATGTATCTCCAACTCTGTCATGGAAGTAGACAAAATTTTCATGGTCAATTATTAAGAGGTCTCCAGTGTTGAAATAGAGGTCTCCTTTCTCAAAGACATCTCTCAGTTTTTTCTTCTCCGTCTGAGTCTTTCCTCCAGCATAGCCAGCAAATGGTGTAAGTTGTGTGATTTTGCAGACCAGGAGTCCGGCTTCCCCTATGACAGAAGAAAGTAAATTGTTATTTTATGTGCTAGCAGTAGACAGATTTTTTTGTTAACCTTCCTTAAAACAGATGCCATACAACCCACTGGCAACAAACTGGCTGCAGGAAGTGTCATTTTCATGCATAAGTACATGTATTTCTATATACATTTCATATATATACACACACATATATACACCATGCACACACATGGTACATTATTCTCTATGACCACACATTTGTAATTCTTTTAGTACTAATCTTTTACTGAATAATGGTTTAGACACAAAATTAGACAAATGCGTAGTAGTTTAAGCTTAAAGGTAAAGACCCCTTATGGCTAACTACAGTTTTGCAACTATAAGTACACATCCCTTTCTGTATAATGCTTACCTCCCAATCAAGAAGTTGTTAAGTTAGGTTTCAAATGATAATTATATTACATGCAGTGGTAAATTACTACCTCTTGAGATTTCTGTAACTATTTCCAAGAGTGCGATAATAAACTTCTTCCCCACACACCACACCTACCCTCCACCCCGCACTCTGATCAATTTTACCATGTGTTCACTTTAGCAATGATATGCTAGTTCTTTAGAGTCATTTTGTCAGGGTAAGAAAAGGGACAAGCTAACTGAACAAAAATCCACTGTACCTTTTGGAACTTTGATACAATATCCATTTCCATCTCGGACGGGCTCATCTTTCTCCACATCATATTTAATTAGCTCATACGTTATGATTTTCTAGCAAAATTAAAATAGATCATTGTGAGCACACATTCTTTCACAAATTTTTCTTTTTTGTTATGGTGTAGCATTCATACAGTATATAAAGTGCACATATCTTAAGTATACAGCTTGATGAATTTTTACATACACATACGCCTAGGTAACTACTCTCCAGATCAAGACGTTAGACATTTTTATTACCTTAAGAAGACTCCTTTTGTCCCTTTCTGTCAAGTTAACCAGTATTCTGACTTTTGTCACCATCAAGTAGCCTTAAGCATCAAATAAATGAAATACATACATGCCTTTGTATCTGTTGCTTTCACTCAGCATAATGGCTGTTATCTCCTTTCCCTCCACGTTGGTGCTTGTGTCAGTGGTTTACTTTAGATTGCTGCTTAACTTTCCTGGCATGCATATACCGTGGTTTATTTATCTACTCTACTGTTCATGGACATTTGGATTGTTTCTAGTTTTAGACTTAAAAATAAAGCTGTTACACATGTTCTCATACATGGCAGAGGCATCATGGGTTGTGATTAATAGAAATTAAGATTTTAAAAGTAGAGGACCCTGTCATTTTTAGGTTGCTCTCATAGAGAATGAGCAAAACCTCTCTCAGCGATATGGCTGGTCCATGGCTCTGAGGCAGCTTGAAATTCTGATAATGACATCATCAGGATATATCTTTTAAGAAATCTGCAAAGCTGGCCAAGGTGCCCTCATTTTGAATGTACTTACTCTCTGAAGGTAGTTTAATCTTCCAATAGCACCAATTTTTCTCGTGTAATTTATAAATCCGATATTGCCTTCAGTGGAAGCATAGAACTCATACACATAGATGTCTCCAAACCTCTTGATGAATTCTCTCCACACATCTCCTCGCAAGCCATTCCCCAATGCCGCTCTCACTTTATGGTCACGATCGTTTGGTCTCTGTAGCAGGAGGGAGAAGAGACCAAATTGAAACATCTTGGGAGCCCGTACTTACGTACTAACAATGTCCTTTATGTTTCTACCTATTTACGTTGATGATGACTTCCCCTTAGTGCATGCCTTTTCTGTCACCCACACACATCCCGACACACACAACGTGGGCTGACAGCAGGAGCTCTGATCTAACAGCTGAAAGACTTGGATCCTCCCATTTTGAATTTTAAGAGGCAAGGTGAGACAGTTTGATGGAACTCAGTGATGCCAACACTGACTCCACAGCCAGCCTGAAGCTTGAATCATGTATTGTTTTCTTGATGAGGCTGGTGCATCTGAGTGAGTTGCCAGAAAGGAGGGCCCCACAGGAAAGTCTGTCAGAGACTGTGCAATTGGAAGTAACCATCTTCCTTTGGCAATGAACAGGAAAATGGGATCACAGTTCAGGGAGAGAGAGAGAATAATTTTCCACAGCATCACTGAAGAGCATTCACATTAGGGCCTGGCGGGACTGGGGAAGAAGACTCTGGATCACGTATTCATTTAACAGACAGACCCAGAGGCCACAAGACCAGGGAGAACTGTCCCGGTGGGCTGGGAAGGGGAAGAGAGGGAGAAAGCTGACTCCCAGTTGCCTCAGGTGGCCTGGGAGGACTATGCTTTGCTATAAATAAAAATCACAAAGGAAAAACTGTTTTGAGTAGAAGAACTGAAAGGAGAGCTCATATCACCAAGAGAGGTGGGTGAGGACCAGCCACTTTCCATTCAACCACATTTATGAGGCCCTACCTATACGTCCAAATATGTCCAAACCTAGGGTGATTTTAACAATATTTTATATTAATAAGGCAACTGATGTGACGTTAGGAGGTCACAGCCTGGTGGGGGGGCGCAGGTAAATAAGTATAATTTTAACTCGCAAAATCTGTGCCTTGATGACGTTTACTCTAACAGAAGACAGGAACGGGGCAGAGGTGCCAGGTAACTAGGAATTGCCTCTCCTGGCAAATGTGAATTGTTTTTGTTTTTGTTTTTGTTTTTGTTTTTTTTTTGCTGGAATAGCAATTTGCTTAAAAAAGCAAATGCTCTAAATAACATTTTCTACATTGTTTCCTACTCTGTGAAATCGCTGTGAAGTGATTTTGGAGTAAGTGATTTTGGAAAAGCAACAACAGCAAGAAAACAACTGAGTTTCAGAGAAAGGCTGGCGGTTCTCTGACAAGGGGAGGACCTTTGATACTGTAGTTAAAAACCAAACCAAACAAGCCTTGACTCGCTTTCCAAGTGGGTGGAGCCAAGGGGGGTGGACAGTGTGTATGCATTTATTTTTAAGATTTTGAAGTAGCTCCTTGGTCAAAACTGAGATAGTGACATTCTTTCAGGAGTCTGAACCAGAGGGGTGGACAGATATTTATCACTAGGAAAAACTGCCCCTTCTGCAAGTCTTTTTGAGGAAAAAATGTGTAGAGAGAGAATAGGGGCTTCATGCCAGTGGTTCTTAACCAGAGTGCTCGGGAGACTTATCTGAGAAGCCTTTTGGACCTGCAGGAACCTATTCATTCTGAGTGGGAACCTATTTATCAGCTTCCTCGGTCGTTAGGTCGCTGAATCGATTCCCTATTATGATTACCAAATACCTATAGGTCAAGAGACCATATAGCTGCTTTGCCTGGGCTGGTCCTGGTTTATGCCCTTTGGCCTGATGTGCTTATTAACTACACTTCTTTCACTCTCAAATGTCTCTGTTTGGATAATGATTTATAAGGTCATGCTGTCCACAAGACATTGCTCTCCTTAGCAAGGATTGTCAGCTTTATAGAGATCATCCTCGCCCTAACACTGCTGTCCCACACTGCCACTCTGAGAATAAAACATCACGAGTATTTGTGGAATGATTACTCTTACTTAAAAGCAACCCAGGGCTAACCTTTCTCAGGCCTGCATGTGAAGCTCTGAAGAGCATTCCAGTGCGTAAACCCAAGACCTTGCCTCTTCTATACACAGCCTGTAATTACCCTCTCAGTTCATTTACTGGTCTAATGGGTGGTGAACATCTGTCTCTCCCATTAGACTATAAACTCTTTGAGGCCACATCTCTCTCTGTATCATCCATGGTGCCTGGACCTGTGCTTTACATAGAATGCAAACCCTGCACTAAGAAAAGAAATAACCTCCACCAGGAAACCATCAATGTCCTGGTTCAACCGTTAATGGCCAGCACATCAGCACCAGGGCAGGACTCTAGGGTGCAGGAGGCTGCAGTGCCCTGGGTGTACGGGAGGCGGGCCAGCCTCACAGGTGCAGCTGTCACCTGTGGGTGGCAGGGAGCTGGGCTCAGAGTCATGATATCATTGGCTCAGTTTTCATCATGAACTGAGGGATCTTATTATACCAGCAGAAGGGATTAAGGCTCTAGGCTGGAAATGTTTCTGGACACAAACTGGGAGATCCTGGAGCCTTCTGAGATGTCTGGTTCTCACCTAAGCTTTTGCTCACCAGAGGCTGAAAGTACTGGTGTTTTCCAAAAGGAAAAACAGTGTTTCCTCCTCATCAAAGCCACTCCTCAAAGGAGCTGTATTTTAGGTCAGGGGTTACCCGCTCAGTTTTCTTTAACAAAGATCGAACATTCTATTCCACATTAGAGGTGAGGTGCAATATGCAAACACACCTAGGGGACTTTAATCCACACCAGACTGAAAGACTGATGAAGGGTGAGAGGTCAGGGTGTCCAGAGAGGGTACAGGGCACCAGCTAATCAGAGTCAGCAGAAGGACTTTTATTGAGGGCTTTGCTATATCAGGCAATTGCCTTGCATTATCTTACTTAAGGTCCTAAGGAACCCTACCAAAATGTGAGAGGTAATCAGTTGAAGAAACAGAGCCCTGAGAGGCTTGAAATAATTTATCCAAGATCACAGGTAGCAACACAGCAGCTCCAGAATTCAAATCCAAATCTACGTGACTTCAGAGAGCACATTTTTCTTTGTTAAAAAGATGACACACGCAGTTTAAGAATCAAATAGTCCTGAAAGCTTTTAAATGACGAAAGCAGTTATTCCAAGTATTTGTCTATATCCTTTGCCTCCAGCCTACCACCCGAGGCAGACACTTAAACCTTGCAGCTGTTTCTTCTTATCTATTTCTCAATTAAATGCTTATATCACTATCTTTTGATTAATCATTCTTAGACATTATTTGTTAATTTCCTGTTGTGCTGGCTGGGGATTAAGCTCTTTTCCATTTTCCCAACATCACAATTTTTGGTTAAACCAACATTCTGTGTTCACATTATTTTGCCCCTAATCCCCTACTAATGAGCTAAGTAATATACTATGAACAAATCCTTGAACAAATGTTTGGTTTTCCTGGGATCAACTGCCTCCCTGGCCATTTGTTTCATTTTCATAGTTTCTATTTGCAGTTCTTTCCTCACCTTCCAACGGCCTCTAAATACAATGTTCCTCATGGTGAAATTTGTTGGTATAATTTCCTTTTTTCATTTTTCTTCCTTATATCCTTTTGCTCCAGTCTGGACTATTTGTTCTCCAGGCCTGGAAATACCCTTCACTTCTCTTTCCTGGATCCCGTGTCTTCTTCTTTCTTTTTTTACTCTCCTGTTTAGATGGAGTACTTTCTCTAGGAAATTCCTTAAGGAGGGTATGCAGGAGGTAAGTTTTTTTGAAACTTTGAATGTCTGAAAATATTCTTATTTTATACTTGATTGATAATTTGGTTGGATATTAAAATTCTAGCTAGGCAATAATGTTTACTTAGATTTTGAAGGCACTGCTCCCTTTGTCTTCCATCCTGAATGCTGCTGTTGGCAAATCAAATGTTATTCTTATAGAATCTTTTCTTTCTCTTTCTCTTTTTGGTAGCCTTAAATCACATCATAGCCTAACTAAAAATTAAAAAAAAAATTACACTCATTTCATTGGGTCCTCAATTGGCCCTTTCAGTATGGCCTTCAGTTCTGGCAAGTTTTCTTGTATTAGATTTTTAATAATTTTCTCCATTTTCACTGTTCTTTCCCCAATTTCCTGTTAATCAGATATCAGATCTTTTGGATTGATCCTCTGATTTTCTTATTTTGTCTCCTTTCATGTCCACTGCTTTAACTTTTCTCCAACTTTCTGTAAGATTTCTCAACTTTATCTTCCTACCTTTCTATGGATTAAGTAATTTTTAAATCATATGTTTATTTTTCTGGAGGTCTTATTTTGTTTTTTGAGGGAGAGGTAGCATATTGTTTCTGTTTTATGGATATAATATCTCCTCTAATATCTCTGAGAATATTAACTTTAGTTTTCTGGAATTCTACTTTTTTTAAAAAAATGATCTTTCCTGTTAGAGGCTTTCTTTAGGTGTCTGTTCATATTTAGGATTAAGGCAACACAAAGATGTTTGAGCAGCTTTGTATGGTGGGGAGGGGCTGTGACCAGGTGGACTGCAATGTCTCATGATGCAGCAGTGAGCCAATGTCTAGTTTCTTTTCTGCAAAAGCTTAGGCCTTCCTAAGAGTAACCCTTCTCCGATCTCTTGCCTGCGAGCATAAACTGGCTATTGGAGTTCTGAAAACTGTGCAGGGGAAGGGAGCTGGGAAGTCTCTCTGGTCAGTAAGTACACAGTTACTCAATCTCTGCTCTCAGTTCTTCACCCCTCCCAACCTCCCCTCTTGGGGTCCTTGAATTCAAAGTTTCTCTAGGTCTTCTCCAGAGAATAAGCCTCCTGTCTCCTAACGGAGTGGGAGAGAGGAACAGCAGATCTACCTGTTTCATACACAGACTTCCAAAAATCCTCCTGTTTTGAAGCCTGGCACCTCATCCCATCTTCAGTTGTATCTGGTGCCTTCAACTTCTCAGCTATCAAGAAGTCATTTGGCTTCCTTCTTGTTAACTGCCTCTCAAGTTTCATGCCTTTCACCCCTGCTCTGGCAGTGACCTTTACCTTTCAGCATGTATGGCTGCAATGTCTCAGTTTCCAAGGCAATGGAACTTGTGTATCTTT